AACAATTATGCCTTCTTTCGACGTTCGCGCGTTCATGGTGAATATAGAAACATTGGGTTAATTTGTTAGCTGATAATCGGAATTCAGATAAGCTGACCAGAATATCTAAGTTATTTCACACAACATTAGGACCGCAGAGCTTGAGTTGCTTGCAACTTTCAATTGAACATAAGCATATCCTTTTGAATAATCATCCGACATTAAAACTTTAGTAATGGGGTTCTGTGAAGATGTTGGACAGTTGGACTTACTGGGCGCGTTTTTTGTGGTCTCAAGGTTGTTGTTGCATTTACAATGTGGGCATTCCAAGTTGCTAGGGTCGGATAAACTTTTCGTTTATTTCATTAGAGTCCCTTTTGTTCGTCTGGAATGTTATTTACCATACTCGAATCACCGTAACTCGCTTTTTATTTGACTTGGAGAGATTTACTTTACTTTATGTTTTATCGGGGATTCGGCGGGGCTATAAATGCTGAACAAACCAGTCAGAACACTCGGTTTTATTGAGAATCTCGCCTATACGCATCGTAGCGCTTCGTGTCTTTCTTGTAGGGATTGTGGGTATTAGGGGGCATGCATGAGAAATGTTGGGATTGAGAACAAGGTGAAATAGTGAGCCAGTGATCCACGAAACGCACAATAAGAAAAACAATAAATGGGGTGACACAGGTTTCTTATTGACATGATCTGAAAATCGGGATTAAAAGTAAATGATTCAAGTTTTTAAACCCGCTACAATATGACTAAACAGCGTTTTAGCATCGTAGCTGATTTTAGCTTCTGATCCCAGTCTTTACTCTCTTTAACCGAAATTCTGAACTGTCATTTCTGTTCATTACTCCTTACACTAGCTCATATCCTTGTTTTGACATATCAGTGACTGAAGTTTCTCTTGGCCACTTTGGTACCTCTTAGACATCATTCATACGTTATAGTCTCACTCATTTTGGGGTGTCATATTTCAAGGCTTACTTTACTGGGTGAGATCCTAGTGGGTTCGAAGAAGGTTGGGTGCCTGAATAGATACTTGACATCAACAGTTATAACCATTAATTGTCATTCTGAGCCTTGTTAAGTCCTGACTACTTGTTCAGTGTTTGCGAAATCAGCTTTTGAAGACGTTAAATAATTTTCCTCTTCAGCATCTATTCTTTCCTACCTTGTTTCACTTACTTATTTGAACACATAAATATTGGTATGAAGGAGTACCGAATACATATATACCACACAAGTCACTTGATTTGTGTGTGGGCTATGATACTGCCCAGGTGCCCAGACCGAAGAAGGTTACTTTATTTTAGACCCGAATTTTTAATGTTTGGTCTTTTGCACTATCACCGTCTTTATACTACTCGAATTTTCTTACATTCATCTCGTAAATTTCACTTCATAGTGTTGATTAGGGAATAAGCACTGGTACACACTTGTCCCAAGCTTTACATCCTTTGCGAATAACTGATGAATAAGTACTCAGTCTTACCACTGTACACCAACGTCACAACTGACTATGAAGTTAGTCCGACTAAGTAATTACTTGTAAGACAGTTTACTATTTGTTGTGCTATTCAGAACAAAGATCCCGTGGACTGTACTCTCCATCTCCATACTAACTACTCAGTACTGACATGCGTTTATATATTCCTTTTGTTCTCCAGATTGCGTACTCGTTTTGAAGATCAATATTTCCGAAGAAATAACTTTATTTGCTGGCTTGCAGTTAAGATGAAGCTTTTTCTGCACAACATACTTACTTCTCGTGTCTTAAAGTCTGTGAAAGTGGGATATCCACTAAAATTGAAAGTCAGTTACCACTTCTCGCAGTTAATATTTTCAGGCCAACACATTAAAGGTATCAACAGTTGATTATGACCCTGCATCAGTTGCCCGTTTGATTCCAAAAGTGGAGTGGTCTGTTGTGAAGTCAGTAGCAGATGAAGTAATTGGTCTATTCTGTATAATTTTTTAACAGATTGGTGAAGAATACATTCCTTGTTTGCCAGAAGAAGTCCCGGTTAATTATTCGGAAAACGAAGAATTCTTAAAATTGGCACACCGAGCACTTCTTGAAGTCGACGTAATGGAGGGTGTACTGGTTTGCCCAGAAACTGGTCGAGAATTTACCATCTCAAACGGAATTCCAAACATGTTGGTCAACGAGGGTGAATAAGTCCATTGTAAAATTCCTTGTAAATTTTTTCTGCATAATAAATATTATATCACTGTTAATTTCTGTATATGGTGGCCAGACTTTAAAATGTTATAACACACAGCATCTCAACCAATAAGCTAAGATACACCAAACAACAGATCACAACATATTTAAACGTGATGAAAAAGGTACAATAGTATTAGCATATCAGTTAAATATTCTATATTATTAGTTGTTGATGAATCAAATATGACATTTAAAATAATAATTATACTAATTAAACAGAAAATGGCCGCTAAGAAGCGCTCACTTAGTTTATTTTGTCCTTCTAAATACATCATGTATGTATAACTTGGACCTAAAAGTTGCTGATCTGAAGTTGTAACTCAGTAACTTCTATCAGAGTATGAAGTCGATCCCTGAAATATCTGCAAGTTGAATTCCAGCCTTATCTTCGTCCCGCACTGCATCGCTTCAAAAAAGAATACATTTTGCTAAGGCTTGGGTGCACCTTTTGGTTATTATGGCTGGAAGCAATCGTTTGTGGTCACAGTGACAGTGAAGTTTGGTTAAACATGTCATCAGTTGCTCAGCAGCCTAAGCAATCGAATTTCAACTGTTGGATTCCAGATTCAGATTATGTTTTTGTCGTCATATGGACAGTGTGGTATAGTCTGTCCCATATTCCTCTACTAAGTTTTATGAATTAAACAGACTCATTTAGTAATCACTTGTTTCCTTTTAGGTGTGACATTTATTCTTACGGCATTAATAAATCGGTTAACCACGATTTTATTAATAATCAGTTGTAAAACGCCTAAGCTATGTAAACGAAGTCGAACCCAACATACGTACGTTGAAATATTTCGTTAATGTAAACAATATCAAAATAACTATGTCTGTGTGATAGAAATTTGCAACTCAGATGAATGATTTCAACGAATTTCGTTCTCTGAGATAGTAAGTTCAATCAGAAAGCTTTCATTGTTCTTCTGAACATCAGAAGTGACCATACTTCCAGACGACTTACTGCATGACGCACTCTTAATAAAATGATAAGTATTCTATCATGTTTGAACACAGGAGTATTATAATCATCAGTCATTCACGTTCTTCTGATATCTCGGAATTTACTAGGTCTCATCGTTAGCGTTATCAATATCTGTCTATTCAAAGTACATAAATGTATCTGTTTCACGTTGACCGTTTGTCGTGCTATATTTGTCTGTAGAGGAATGTATATTGATGAACTAACAAACTAATTTTCATTAAATTCTGTTTGTCCTTTCATTTGACCAGTAAGATATCCAGCAAATCAAGCTACTGAGTCTTAGATCCTCACGCCAGTTATGCTGTAGACTTCCTTAGAATAAATACACTGTCAATGCTTATTGTGTCACTAAGGTAGACTTTCTCGGATCTCGTTTCTATAATCTCAAAGTCATCAGGATTGTACTTAGCTGACAAGATAAAGTAATATCTTGAGGCCCACTGGTAATTAATTTTATCGACCGTATAACTAGTATTTTGTAGAGTTGGTGACCTATCTTTCACTTCAACAATCTACAGCTTTATTTAAACCATTACTTATTACATGGATAAAACACTCCAGATTTTACTATGAATAATGGTAACACATTGTTCCACTATAGGTTATGCCAACATCCGATTTACAGTTCACTTACGTTACTCTCAGTCCTTAAGTCCTAGACGAGAGTGTTATATCTACGAAGATAGATCATTTTGTACGTGGATCTTGTTGTGAATAGCATTTAAACTACAGGCCATTTTACTTTTGTTGGTATGACTAAAGCTTATATAGGATTCACGGTTGTCCTTGCTGATTAATTCCCTGGAAATCGTTACACGAGGTTGCTGTCTGGAGAATTTCATGCTGACTGTCTTCTCACGAATATACTGTAATATTGTGGGAAATGTTCAGGGAACAGCCACATAAGTGTACAAAGGCTTTTTTAGGACCATGTATGTGGGTTGATCGCCGAGTAACATTTCCCTTTGGGCCACATCCTTAAACGTAGTTTATTTAGTAATACTGAAACAATGACTACATTATGCCATCCAGTCAGTTACGAATACTCAGTTACTGGATCATTCTTTGAGCCTTTTACATGATGAACCTAGAAGCATTAAGAGGTATATGTCTGTCTCAACCATCTTCCAAATAAGTGTCAGTAATACATGACCTAGAGTTAGATCCGTACACAAAAGTATCTTTCACTATCGCCGTAACCACACAGACTTTTCGATTGCCAAACATTTACCACTTTGATTTGTCCCTTTACTACAGCTCCATTTAAGATTGAGTTCATTTATCTTACGTCTGTCTTATTGCTTTTCATTTTATTTCCTGTTACCAATCCTTGTTTGTCATCTCCTAATTACCAGTTTATGTTCTTTTAATCTTTGGTACTACATATTTTCGATTTCTTGTGATTATTTATTCCATCCTCTTCACGATTACCTTCATCATGAACTATTTGGGTGTTTTTATTAGCTTCCTAGACAACATTAACCGCTTAGAGTGATACACGGATCTCCATCATAGCTGTTGTTCCGCTCAGTCCGCATAAGATTGAACAATTTCTCGATCTTTCAAGTGGTTACTATTTCAGTATATTGAAATATGTTTTATCCTATATCCCAGGTATTGGTTAATTCGTCAGCAACTTTAATAATGTAGTTGCCTGTCGTAACTTTAAGAAATAATGGTTGTCTTATTCGTTTCTTCTCTAAATCACTTGTAGTAATGAGCTGGTAAATGAAAATTAACCTCCGTACAACCTTTATTTTTCAAAATATACGCTTTTATGGAAAATAAAACAAGAGATGTGTATCATAAAAATAGACTTTTTCAATAAAATACAACTTAACTAGGTCACCAATGTTATTTATGTACAAATTATAGGGTCTTGTGTGTTGACATATTGAAGTTTATACCCAAAACCGGTTTTTTTTCTTTCTTCTTTCATAAAGTAGCTTGTAAATAGATTATCCAACGCGACGCACCATCAGAAAAGGTTAAAATTGTGTAAATTAATTTTGAGGTTTACATACCCCTTTGTCCTGGTCATCTATGTTTGCATAAATACTGTCGCGAGCTAAGCTGTCCCAGTTAACGCGCATCAACAAATTATCCATATTTGCCTGTTAGACTACTTGTATTTATTGAGTAGTCGAAGTCGAACATAACAAAGAATGTAAAATGCAATCATAATTACTACCAACCCAACAACATTAGACCATAAATCCCATCCAGTCATATAAGGGATCTCTTGGTCTTCCAAATATGTCGTGCCATTTTGACTGTAAAGAGGGTTATGAAGTGAGAGAAAGCATAGACATCAACATAGTTACTTAATTTAATCACAAAAGATATGTTTAAACACTTTTATTCTTATAATTCATTTCTTAATTTTTAATTGCAATTAAAATCACAAAATGTATACATTTTAAACCTTAATACTGAACAGTAAGGAACCGAGTGTAACAACAGTATAGCAATTTTTGACTGATTTCTCATCCCATTGTTAATGGTCATTTTGATTTTTTCCAAAAATGTTGCATAAATAAAACAAGAATAATAGACTTTGGAATTGGTTTCAGTGAGATGAGATTGAATTCGTTACTGCATATATCTAGTGTCATATTATGTACGCATTCTGTCTAAATACATTCAAAAAATAACTGGTGTTAAGATATTTCAAAAGTTGTGTATAAATTCCATTTATATCTACTTTATTCATAAGATGCATGTATATCATGACTTTGGAAGTTACAAATAACTTTCAGACAAGATATTGTAAGACTTTTATGCCTTTGCTTGCGTACATGGATGCTAAAGTATTAGCTCCTCGTTCTACGAGGAAATACAAAAGGAGAAAGTTGTAACTAAATTGGATGGTTAGTATTTGATAAGATAGCATTTGCTAGGAGTTCGCAAGATTTTAAATTTCTATCCACAACCATATTCATGATGACTCCAAAAGATTCACTACACACCATGCGAATCACCTTAAGCATTCTTTGCAAAACAGAAAAATCTTTCCTCAAAAGCCCGGTAAAGAATAATGGAGAATAAAAAGGATGAATTGGTAATAACCAAGGATTCACGAGTCGTAAAAGTAAATATATAATAAGTTAAACGAGAAACTTTCTTTGATATCAATAAAACCTAAGAAGGCGAAGAGATACCAAAGGAAAAAGTTACGCCAAGATAAATGACCTTTGACACTTTATTACAAAATCCTCAGTAGTACAAACTTTGTAGGATCACAATCGGGTCTTTAAGTGCTGCTCATGTCCAAGCTGAAATTAACAGCTTGACATTCAGAAGCATTAAGTGTGGGACCATTAGAAACAGGCTACGGTTCAATGAGCAACAAAAACATATTGCAAAAGGATCTCAAGAGTCAGAAATTGACGTACATACAGTTAGATCGTTCGCATAATTAATGAACGTGCTTTTTGTAGATGACGGAAAAAAAGGGGGAAGGATAGCTCCTTGAGACATACTTTTTTTGAGTGAGTAAGGATGTAGAACACTTTCCTGTCGGCACAGTGTACTGTTTTCTTCCACAGAGGTAAGAGAATAACCAGTCAGTTGTCAAGCTAGTAGTATTGACGCTGGCAAACGTGTTTAGTAGTTGTGGTGTTGGGACAAAATCAAAAACAGGGGTATAGTCTCGTAAGCGAACTGATATGGTTTAATATACTCGTATCGCAGCTCCTTGCACATTTTTTTATATTTTTTTTCCTTCGTAATCGTTTTAATTGTGAAGATATAGGTCGATCAAAACTTACAAAAATAGATTCAATGGCATAACAAACATCACCAAAGTTTGTCATTGAGTCATTTGTGAATAAATGCCAGCATGTTTTTTTGCAGATCATGGATATTTTATTCTGAGCAATTCCTGTATTTAACTTTCTTTGTTTGCAATCAGAGTGTACTCTTTTCAAGTTTGTCATATGCCTTAAGCAGAACACGAATAATACAATGACCAGAATTAAACAATGGAACATGTTTACGAATCATATATACTTTCATATTAATGAGAACTAAGGCTGAATGCTTATCTGAATGAGTGGAGAAATCGATTATTTTTTTATGGCCTAGTGATAAAAGAAAGCTACAATTTCATAAAATCATATCACCATATATAATTGAAAGTGAATCATTATTATACATAAACTATACTATAAACTTACTTAAAATGTCCTTAGAAATAAGTTGATTAAGCAGCAAAATAAGAGTAAGCGGATAAATGAGTAGATGGTGGGATTAATATATTCAAAATAAAGAATGATAGCGTAAGAACAAATAACTGAAGTGAAGGAAATTTAAACCCAAAACAGTAAGACTTGAAGGAAATTTATAATTAATTTATTCAGTTCCTAATTTTGATGTATAAGAATGCTCAAAACAGCAGATGCCTGGTAAAATGATGAGAACTGAGTAAAAAATTTAGCTACATTCGATCCTTTAATCCTTCAAGCAAGCCAATGATAATTTTAAAAAAATAAAAAGCGATCAATTGTAAAACAACAAAGAATAAATTATCATACCATTGCCTATTAATTGTTGTATTCGATTTATCCATAGGACAAAATCGAAGTGTTGTCATTTCCATAATCAGTAAACCGCCCATACTGTAACGAAATATAGAGAAGTAACGAAGCCAACTAAGCCAAACAGCCATAGATTTTAAATTGATTAAGAAACCAGAAAAAACCTAAAATCAATGAGAAAAAGGTTTGATGTAAATCATTCATTGTTCCAAATGGATATAATCAAAGACTGAGGGAGCTGTTCTCAATATTTACCCGACAACAAATTACAGGTAGCTTTACACTTTCCATGTTTGTTGACACTAGTCAATGAGATGCATACTTTTTTGAAAACCTTTACTTAAATTATTTAAAGCCTCAGCCAAAGATAGTATAGGAATATTTCACGTGAAATATATTTAGTATTATCCGTTGATCGTTTCATTTATTGTTGCTCACTTTTCTCGGTTTTGGTGTAATCATATGTACTGATGATGATGGTGATGTATTAACATTTTCTGCAGACGGAAATAAGAATACGAGCGCATGAGGATTATTAAATAGTGTTTAGTATTCGTCTCACCATGTCAAATGTAGTGGGATGCATGAATAGAAGATGACAGAGAAGTGTATTTTTTAAAATTACGATAGCAAGGTTCCATACGATCATAATAATTCAGTTGCGAATTTGAACACTGTTCAGCTTACTTCGGTTTGGGCAAACGAATAGTATTACTGGTACTCACATCTAAAGTGTGGTTAAAAGCCAAGTTTACCATTAGAAATTAGTTATATACATGACATGTACTTATAGAACTTACCATCATAAACACATAAATAATCGATATTATAGCATTAGCCAATCCAAAGACTGTAACACTTGCTGATATAAACAAAGCAATTGCAGCAGCAGCTAACGTTGTAAGGCATAGAAGTAATTCGAAAAACATAAAAGCTCCAAACGTTTTCTGTAAACCAGCCATCCAATAACATATCGGCATAAAGAATAATATAGGTAGTACTTTAGTTGGTATTATATCACAGAGAATTTTAGAGAAAAAGTATACTGAGACTTGATAATAACCACTTGAACTTTCATGTCTGCAAATGAATAAGAACAAAGATAAAAGTAATAATACAAAGTTCAATACAGCGGCAATTGTATTTTCATTTTTAAACAGACAGATTACATTAGGAAATTAGTACAATCGGTAGGAATGTCCAGTAATGTATACAGCTCAGTTTAATTTATAAGGGACTGTCGGTAACAGAGGTACCTAACATGCTTAATCGCTCACTGTAGAAGACGTCTTGAGCTCTCATATTCCATTTTATTAGATTATACATATAGATCTGTTATAAAGATTTTATCTTAAAAGAGTTTTAATAGTGGTTTAATGGAAATGATATTTTATCAAGATCTCACTTTTTAAAAACTTTCAGATGATCATGAAATAATCAGTTACAATGTCCTGACCAAATAATTATGAAATAATGCTACTTAGAAGACGTACTATATTGTAAAAGTGTGTCTTTTCTGAAATACGCTGTTCGTTAATAGACTGAACTTTGAAATTTGTAAAGTGTCACCAGTCATCTTTAAATTTAAATGGTTCATAATGACGTTTTCAAAAGAGAAAGATTGATGGCTGAAGTGACATTTATTAGATTGAAAATAAACTAATTAAATGTTGATTTAAATTCTAATAATACACTTAGTTTAAACTGAGTCGGAAAATCTTTTCATCTGTATTCAACGACTGATTAATAATGATATTACTCGCGATCTGTATTCTTCGAATTTTCTGTTCTCTAACCTTCCGATACTGCTGACATTTGACAAATCAAACTGATAGACTTTAAATGCAAGCATTAAGAAACAATTTAAACTTACATAAAAAGTACACGTTCTTTAATAAATAACTCAATTGTAGCCAAATTTACAAATATCACTTGTAATGTACAAAAATAAAATAATCCAGTACGATTTTGTATACCAGATTCCAAAGAATCATTCATTTGAAAATAAACTATACCCATGGATAATGCAAAAAATAAATAAACAATAGTTTGTATCACTGATGCTAGAGGATCTCGTAATAGATTCAGTATTGATCTCCAACACACTTTATTGATTTGTCGAATATATGATGCAGCAAATAATATATCTACAGCATTATCTTTACTCTTTTTTGAACCATTTTCATATTTTTCCAATCGATTAGCGATCGAGCTAACTTCTTCCAGCACACTATGTAGTATTATTTTTAAGTAGAAAAGAGTAAACGTCATTAAGTGAGAATATATGCATCCATCGAAATTATTACAATATCCTTAGAAATGTATAATATTTTATGCAAATGTTCAAACACCAAGCTAAACAGCTTTTTCAATGAAAAAACTTTTAGTGAAGTGTATTAGGAATAGGTTCAATAATCAATTCAAACGACATATTTCCTAATTAAATAAATAGTCAGTGACTGGTTACTTTGTTTATTTTCAAGATGGGCTGAAGTATCTTGTCAAATTAACTGATCTCTTGGATAGAATTCTATGACTCATTCCTTTCATTTCTCTTTATAGAATATTTTGATAAACAGAATAATTATTAATCAAAGACAGAAGGCAACATTCGACTACTAATTACCTAACATGAATAAAACAAATAATTATTTTCTCCATGCTGGTTCTTTGTCCCTTTTTTGATGAATAAATATGCCACCATAAATTTTAGCCGTCTATTCAAGACCCGGAGTTACGTGGATTTATATTTATATAGGCCACAAATATGGAGATTATGAATAGATACCCAGTACATACTATTAAATAATAATACTTTTCTTTGTTCATCTGTAAACTAGGTTTAAAGGTTCTCAGAGAAGGACGGTTGACAGAACAATGACCAATCAATTCAAAAGTATGTTATACAGTGTCAGTTCTGTTTTGATAGTTCAAAGACTTTATTCCTTAGAAAACGGAAAAATGACGTTTTTTTCCATATTTTCTATAATAGTTTCAATAATTAATTTCCTGTTTTTATTTAATCACATGAAGGGCGTTTTACTTATCAATGGATTGGTTCTTACCATACAATCAAGTATGGTGACTAGATTCTTGAAAGATCAAGTTTAATTGTCTTATCTTAGGAAAGTGTAAAGTTTCAAAGTCAATCGAAATGAAGTTAAGATTGTCACTATTTTGGATTTCAACAGTAATTTCGTATAAAAACATCTCTTTATTTACTTATTTTGCATATTAGTTGACAAAAAAACATTTTACACATTTTAACACCATTTCTATATCATAAATCGAATTAAAATAGCAAATTCCTAAGACTATGTTATGTTAACTTTTACTGATTGAATAACGAAATACGTTTACTAGTTTATAGATTAATATACATACTGTTGAGCCATTTCAGAAGTTTGCCAGTCTTGAATAAGTTGTTGTCCAACTAAATGCATTCTTTCTTGAGTATCATTATGATCCATAATTTGGACATCTAGAATAATAAGTTTAATAGAAAATATGAAAATTCTTCACTTTATCCAAATCAATTAGAGAGCATATACGATTAATATCCAGGATTCAATCAGTAGTTTTATAAGTCATGCTAACAATTATGTTTGAATTATATGGTGTACATTGAAAGATATCAATATATGTGAAACATATCTATTAAAAGACCAATAAAAAATCAGAAATCTTTACAAATTTCTTATCTTCCCACAGACTGTTCGTATGAATTTGTAAGGCCATATAAGAGAACCGAAGCAGAAGCTACTGATTTTGAGTCCTGATGTGAACGTTAACACACCTGCGGGTACGTCCAGCTGATGAATCTCAAATATAACGGGACGTGCTTCCTGAATTTTATAACTAGCCAAAAACCATCTGTTCTGTAAAATAAATAAGAATAATCTAGCGGAAACATTTTGTCTTTGAACTACTGGTTTAGAATCCTGTTATTTTCACTTACTAAAATCAATATTTCTTTAAAAATGTAAGACCTAAGATGTAAAACTTTGTTGTAACTCATTTCTTATCTTTTGATTCATGGAAATACATTCTACAAATAAATTTTAGAAGAACGATTTAGTGTTTTTTATCACAAGTGGCTTTCTAACTGAATGTCAAATTCCAAAATCAAAATTCTTGACCAACGTCTATAATAATACTTCGCATACTATATGTAACACAAGTTCTGTTGACAAAGTCAAATGTATCTATATATTCTCGAGAACACCCTAATAAATTCAAGTTAAAGGTAAGTGATACATAATGATATTTGGAAAGTTAAAGATAATTTATAATGTTTAACTTTAGTTACAAATACAAGGATCATGAACTAATTCAAGTTGTCTTTCATATACCAAGTGAACCATCACACTCAAATTTCAGTTATTTTTTAAACTACTGGGCTTGTGTAGCAAAATCATTTAAGTGTCTATCTTCAATAACAAAATGGAAATTGAGAATCGACTGGTATTTTCACAAACAGTAATCAAATGATCATTATTTAAGATTCAGTTTTGAATTCTACTTTTTAACTACATGCATATTTCGTCTTAAAAAGATATTTTGGAACAATAGATCAATCCTTAAAATAACAGTCTAGTGTTAGATGCTGTTAACTATTGAATGTTCGAAATCTAAAATCGCAACAGATATTCAGTTAAGTGTTCAGCATACTGCCTAAGGCAGAATACGAAAATCATGAATCGATTGATGTTATACCAGCACTGAAAACCTGGAAACACTGGATAGCCGTTTTGTCCTAGTGTGGGACTCCTGGGTTCGAATCCCGCGTGCGCGATCGTGGATGCACACTTCTGAGGAGTCCCATACTAGGACGAAACGGCCATCCAGTGCTTCCAGGTTTTCAATGGTGGCCCAACATCAATCGATTCATGATCTTAATCAAAATAATAATAATCATTATTCTTTTTATTATTAATTCATTATACTTGCACTCGAATAGTTATGAAATCAGTTAACTTTGATTTATCAACGCCTTTTAAAACTATTTTAACAGTTACATAGGAAAAATTCATTGTCTTTTCGACCTATGAAGTGACTTCAAGGCTGTATTTTGAATCGTAGACCATCTAGTTAGGACTAACTAATTTCAAGTTTGGAATAAATATTCTAATGTTCATCGATTACCAAGCATTTCTCCTTCATAGTTTATATTCACTGAGAGTATAGTATCTTGCTCAGCTGGTAGGTCGTCATTATCACCTGTTAGGCTGAACAGTAATATATAATTCATTTTCTCTGGATGGAATACTAAGACAAATTTCCTGTATGCTTTCGTTTTACTTGTATTCTAGTGTATTCAGCAGGCGAACAGTTATTTATCACTACTATTACAACTGCTACAAAGTGTGACGTTGATAATGAATAAATAATATTGTTATTGAAATTAAGAACCGACCTTAGTTAGACATGCACTGAATATCTGGGAGCACTGGACCGTTGTTTCATCCTAGCATGGAATTTCCCGGACATGGGAGTTCACAACCTCACTGGCTACCGAACCCAGAACCTTCAGGTCTAGCGTAAATAGATTAACGTTAATCGACTTTGTATTCAGATTAAAATATTATTAATATTTAATCTATGCAAAAGTACCTGACGTATTTCCATGTTGACGCAAACATTCACCATGTATAACATCCATGAAAAAATCTGGCGGATTATTATGATTTTCACAAACATAACCTGAAACAATAAAATAAAAAGGCTTTATCAATTTAATCGCATAACAATGAATCTGTGTACTTCAGTTTGAGAGTCACATCTGCTGTTCTCAGTGGTGATGTTAATATGAAGGGCTAACAATATTTGGTGCTTACTGAATTAGAATGAAGTTAAACACTTTCCTACAAGCTACTTCGTTCAATAATTAACTGGATATTAGCTTCACTTGTAAAAATAGAAATTTAATTATCAAGTGCTTTCAAAGCCAGTTTTTTCATCCAGTGTTATTATTTGTTTTATCTTAGCCTGGGACTTTTCAGAAGTGTACCCCTATTATTCTTCAATGAATCGAACTCGAAAGCCGTAACTGTGTCTGCAAACACAATATCTATGGGCGATTGAGTAGAAGTCAACCTATCTATAATATGTCTATATAATTTATTTTGCTTTGCGGTTCACTATAGCTTTTATAATTGATGTTATTCCATAACAAAAATTATCAGAAAATATAATTGATCGTTACAAACCGTTGGAACAAAACTAATTATTTTTTACCAGAAACTAAATTTTCTGGTTGATTGTATTTCAAGTTTTCAGAAAGTAATTGCACAGGATATTAGTTATTCAAGTATCATATTATATCTGATCTTGATCTACATGTATAGGAATAGAATTAGGCTATATATTTGTAGACTGTTTAAACTCGGGTAAACTAGATATCGACTGGTATTTCAGATCGACAAGCTAATAATTTCCAGTGAGTCTAAAGGTAATTTTAGTCAAAGTTAATGGTGGATCTATCACAAATAAGCTGCATGTTTAATTTCCCTTTACGAATTTCAAAAAATTCAGCAGTTTTAAACTCAATAATTTTTTGTTGAAAAGTTAGGTCTTCTTACACTTAAACCATTCGACTTATTTCTAACACAAAATTCCTGTTCTTGGTGATATACGTTTTGTAAAACGCAATGTATTGTACGTATCTAATGATAAAACGATCTAGATTTTTTTAAAAACGGATTCATAATTTTGAATATTTTGGATATTATAATTTTAATAGTTGAAATCGTAAGTCAATTGAAGCTAGACCATCATGGAAAACCTGGAAGCACTGGATGGCCGTTCCCTTGGATGCACACTGCTGAGGAAGCCCCACAATAGGACGGAACGACCGTCTAATGCTTTCAGGTTTTCTATAGTGGCCTAGCTTCAACTGACTCAAAATTATTAAATAATCATGGAAAATGTGGAGTCAGTTACGTACCCAAACGACCAAAATAACGTATTGGTTCTTTTTTTGCCAATCCATGATAAATTATTTGACCTCGGTAGATTAAAGTTAACGTATCAAATAATTTGTAAATTGAATATTTAGGTTGATGTATAGAAAATATGATGGTACGACCACGCTTGGCTAAACTGTTGGAAACAGATATTAAGGTAAAGAGAGATACTTAATACCAGAAATAAACCCACATAGAATTTCAAAATCATGAATATTAAGTAATGATTTAAAAATTTGACTCTTATGGATTATAGATTGTAATATAACTCTGTGGGTCGTCGTAGGAAACTCTAATTATTTGAAGATGTCATAAGTAGAATGCTTATTTTCAGGCTTCAATATATTATATCCCTTATATATGAAAAACATTAAAAATACGTGAATTCGGTAGCTTTGTTAATTACTCCATTAGTAGCATTCTACCGTCGTTGATTTTTCTCAACTCTGATGTGTATTTAGTTGCCCTGAGTTTGATTGTTATGATTGTTATTGAAATATACATACCTCTAATCGTCGTTTATAATTATCGACTTAAATCGCGTTAGTGAATAACGGAATTAAGTAAGCCAAATACAAGAATGGATTTCGAACACATATATTGTGTACACTCAATGATCTGGACAGGCAAGCAGAGGGACAGAGCGAATGAAGTGAAAAGAAGAAAGTGAAGCGAGATGACGTGCGATAAAAAAAAGGCATGTAAGCCAACTCCATTTAATCAAACGTCAGTCAATATTTAAAGCCAGATAAAAGTAGGTTACGGACCTGATGGATAGAGCAGGAAGTGTACGCACATACGCTCATATAAAAACAGTCAACATTTATAAGTGAGTAGTTAACACGGTCAAAACGTGACTCAGAAGAATGGATAAATTGGCCTGTCCAGAAGCTAGAATAAGTTATATGGGCTTAACATGTACTGTACAAAACAAGTTGTAAAGAAAAAATTGGTAATTGTACTTTTCAACATTGGTAATTGGTAGTGACATTGAAACTAAAGAATGACTTGTCCTAATTAACCACTTTGATTTTCAGCTGCTCTTGTTAGTGGACTTCATATTAACAGATCTACTAAGAGTTCATATGTTAGTACTTATGAATAACTTACAGTGCGGTTACATATAGGTAAAATTAGAGTAACTCACTTTATTCAAATGGAAAATAAAATAAAATCATCAAGTAAATTGTTCTGTTTCTTACGCTTTAAGTGTTTTTACGACTTGACCTGCCATATATGCATCTAAACCAGTAGTTGGTTCATCTAAAAACAGTACTGGTGGCTCTGTAATAAGTTCCATTCCAATACTAGTTCTTTTACGTTCACCACCTGATACTCCACGAACTAATTCAGTCCCAACCTAAACAGAAAAACAACAGGAAGAGGAACAATTAAAATAAACTGATAAATTCCTAAGTTTATAAGAAGTGAGAAATCTAAGGAGATTTTAATGTAAAAATATGCATTTTCCATATTTAAGTTTATGTATATAGATACTTTAAAAAGCAATAGCTTCAATATAACATAGAAATTAATATAGTAAAGTCTATAAATATGATACCCTGTAAGTATTTTTAAGATAATAAATGCCTATAAGTTATATGGATTACAGTGATGATAGACGATTCATTAAGTTTGTGTAGTAAGCATCAAATGAATCTCATAAATTTACACAAACGTAACCGTTTTATGAGGTACGCAGATATGATAGCAATAACTTGTTAACTTTATTTAATATGACATTTTGTTATACTATAAATAGATTATAAATCTTCTACTAGAAACTGCAAATTATAAGTTCTTTATCAAAAGAGTAGTATGATGATCATGAATTGAGTTTAACATTTCAGTTGTAATTTCATGAATTGATGGTTGGTTTACAGAAATTTTTGTTTAGCAGTAGCTTACATTTCAAATAATTCTTTTAGGATCTTGATGATGAGTATATCTTTACTCAATAGAATAAAGATGTAAACATCAGCTCTTCTTTCTAATACTTTAATAAATGCTCTTCTATACGTACATGTTAATTGGCAAACACAACTGAAATTTATGTAAGGTAAGTATTTGTCTACTTTTGATTGTTTCAACAAGGAATTCTTTTTTTTGTTTCACTGATGATAACTTTTACTGATATCATGTTATAGAGTATTTGAAGTGATATTGATGGGATGAAAAGTCAAAATTAGATTGATTTACTCATAATGATGTTTGGTTCAACATTAATTCCGTTTTAATTCAATGTGATGATTATTCAGTGTAGTATTCGGTTGAGTTTTCCCGTATGACCTTTTTATTCTCTCTAACATACGATACTCTTGTATTAACATGAACAATACTCAGCATATAATTCGTATTATTCATAAATGTGATTTTATTCTGATTAGTAATCAGAAATCGATGTATGAATCAATATAAATATTGACTAGACTTGTTGGGGGTTTTTTTCGTGCTTCTAGCTGTTTGCGGAATATACTTCCCTCTTCCGAACTTGAACTTTTCTTTTTAGTTAACTGGGCTGGAATACATTGTAATAGCTAGCTTATTTGTCGTTGTGTCACAGAGTCTTCATTCCGTTATCAGATTAGGTGAACTCATAATCTCTTCAAATATAACATTAAGTATTTCTAAATAAATAATACTATTATTTTTAGGTTATAGATAGCTGAAGACAATCTGTAAAATAAATCAATTCACTTTAATCTGTTAACATCATTGTTTTTTAGATCACTTAAATATATATAAAAGATAATAAGCATAAAAATTAACGTGAGAAGAAGGCTTCTGAAGCATTAACACTTGAAAGATATTTTGTAAGTCATTTATTCATGAATGAAAATAATACCTAACTCTCAGGCTTTATTTTTACTTGTGCTATCAACAACAACAACAAAAAGAGTGAAAACTTGACCGAAGTCAAATTACTGTTGTGTTTTTTTTCATGATGACAAAAAGGTAACATATATCAATACGTATACAAAGTAAGTTGAGTTCAGAATTATAATGAAAAACATGAATAGACCTGTATTTCTATTATTTTAACAGTTCTCTTTATGTTATTAACTCTAAAATATCTATCTCGAGCTTCTTGTTTTTAAATGAAGATTTGAATAAAACCAAATGTATTTATGTCAATGTTTAGAAATGACAGATAATAACAATTATTTGGAAAACAGAATATATATGTTCATTTATTTGGAAACAACATTATGTATATTAGAATAGAAATCATTTCATGTACTTATTAATTTCTCAGTAGTCCTTTTAAAAGCATAAACATTAATAGTTATTTTAACCATGGTAATTAATATTTGCGGATCACAAAAGCTGGTTATGTGTTATCTGACATGAAAATAAAATTAAACTTATAAACCATTGGATACCGGCTCACTGGTCTAAACATTAGGCGCTCACTGAAAGACCTAAAAGTCTTGAGTTTGATCTCCATAGGAACACTACCGAAGAGTCCCATGTTAAAATGAAATAGCTTTTCAGTGCCTCCTGGTTTCCAATGATTGTGTGAATAGGATAAGTTTGGTATGCAAAGTAGAAAATTCAACAATCTTCACAGACACATACTAATAAGGAAACTTATTTGAGTCTATTCAGAATACATAATCTACATAAACTGTAATATATTGTTATTAATAGTGATTTTTTGCTAACTAGTTCACAATAAAGGTGATTTTATGGGTAGATTTTCAATTTTACATCTGTTCCTACAAATGCATGCAAATGTTTAGGTAATGTTATAAACATTTCCTTACCTTACTATCCGCTACAGCATTTAAACCCAACTCGTCAATGATATCGTTGACCTTTTGATTTCTTTCTTCTGTTGTACAATGCATAGTCATTCGTAGGGCTGCTGAAAAACTTAAATTCTCTCTTACTGTTAAGGTTCCCATTACAATATCATCCTACAAATTGTACAAAATCAAGTATAACTGTAAAATACAAAACGATCTTAGTATAAACAATAATAGAAAATATCTATATAATTCGTATGATGTTACAGACTGGAGTTAGATGCCAATAAGCCATCCTCTTAGTTATATATATATATATATATATATATGTTTTAATTGTCAGGTTAATAATACATAGCTATTAACTGAACTTCATTATTTATCACATGCTTCAAGAAAACATAAATACTTCTGTGACAACAAAATGATCATGTCAAAGGTGTTTTTAATTTCGTAATGTTTTACGTAAAATTTGTTGATAAATATCCAGTAACTGAATGCCATGAACTGAAGTTCCTGTTAAACAACTATGACCGTTACAAAAATCCCTTTCTATTATGTATATTCCATAAGAGAAAAACCCATCATGTGAATTGACATTGATTTTCTTGGTTGTTTAAAGTCTTAGTATAACAATATACAATAGTTGTAGCCTCTGAACAACTACACTAGTTGAATGAAAAGGTATGATAAAGAAGTGGTTCTTTGAAATATGCAGTTGTATAAATTATTTACCTGAACAACATAACCGGAAATACACTTGAAGTTTTTCGGTTGAGGTCTACCGTCAATTAAAACTTTTCCAGAAAGAAATCTCGGATCTTTACGACCAGCTAATACATCTAGAAGCCTTAAATAATTAAACAAAGATTATAAATTATTGCAAAGAGATATTTTAAAAAATTGATCGAAAATATAAGAAGGTGATAAAACTTTTTCTCCGATTGGTTAGTAGTTTATTACTTTAAACGTAAAATATATCGAAATTAGTTTAGGATCTAGGGAATTTATCATTCCGAAAACTGTGTTTACAATGAATCAATAGTACACTAGGTAGCTCCGTTATGTCAATTCGAGTGTTCGCACCACTCAACGTCTTTGGAATAATGAAATCAAACTGATGTATCTAATACATAACAGAGCCACTTTAAGCTATAAATTTACAACTAACTTTTTCAAAATCTTTTTGATAATCCAGTTAGTTGGTGACCAAATGTGATTAGTGTTAAATTGGTTTTCTGAATTTACTTGACTTCATAAAACATACTTAAAACTTTCTCATTTCAGTGAATAATATTTCCAGATTTACGTTTTATTCACATGAAGTATGGATATAAAATTTATTTTTTCCTATGGAAGACAAATTTTGAAAACTATTTTGTTAAACTTTAATAAATGTGTAACATCTAATTTCTAATTCATCATTATTATGATGCAACTAGGTGAACGTAGAGCTTTAAATTTGGTCAATTCTAGAATTTACGCCTATTCTCTTAAGTTTCCTTTTGCCTCCCCCCATTTCTAGTCTAGTTAACCCTTTATTTTTATATATAAATGTTCTTAACAAGTATATGTGTGATCAGATTGTTCGAAATGTATTGCGCTAATATACTACATAGTTCTGATAATCGTCTTCTTAATACACTATGAACATAATGTTCAATTTGAAGAATGAATTGCCAAAGACGAATAAGTTATTTGTAATATAGAAGTTCCCAATTAATTTTCCCCAATAGGTTTCTGATAATTAGCTATGGTGATTGTTCTAGAATATTTAGGACAATACTATTATTACGTAATATAACGGAATTTGTCTAAGAAGGTATCGAAATAAAAAGAGATCGTGTGAGCTTAACACACTAGATTATCATTATAGTTAGTTAGAAAATTAAAAATGAAGAATGAAAATGTCTAGTGTGCTTCCGTTATCAAGTCAGTTGAAGGTTAATCATCGACACATTTTATGCACAAAGATCGGGCTTAAGCCATCGAAACGTTAAAGCTTCCGCAAATCTTAATAAGATAGAATCGTATTATTTATTGATCACTGTGAATGAGTTCAGGGTGTCAACGTTATCCCTAACGTCTACTAAATAACAAGCTAACAAACTACGATGGCTGTTTTGTCCTCAAACGTTTAAATTCTTGGGAATATTTTCAGTAAAAAGAGTAGAGGTTCAACTTTCTAATTTTCAAATGTACATTCATTTTCATTTAACTTGACATAAGCAGTTGAACGGAACACATGAAAGTGTTGTAACGCGTGGGTGACTGCAGGTTTTAGATACGCAGCGTTTATATCGATCGCTTCTGTGACAGTGGACACGTAAACATGTAAGGACGACCTAGTGCCCTGATTGGCCCTGCTTCGCTGTCTGTCCTAGCCAGTTGAGTCAAGAACACAAGTCACAGCCTCTGGGTTATGAATCATTGTATTTCAAACATACTCTATTTATATACCAAGCAAACAAACCACATCGTACCATAAAATAGGAAACAACATTTGTACAATATTTGACAAGTGAAATAAACATCGACCAACAAGAAATGTACATTTAAGGTTCAAGGACACCATTGAACTTAACATGATAATTATTGGTCTCTTTTTCCGACTATCCTAACAGAAAGGTATTTATCTACTTTTGTTTGTGTTACTGAACATAGTGTTTTGTTTAGTAGAACTAGTTTTACACTAGAGAATGCACTTTTTTCAAGGATGTTTTTAGTTTTTGGTTATTTCTATTCATGTGGTTTAATTATTAATCATATGGTGTTACGAAAGATAGTTATAATAAAAATATAAGATATTAACTAAATATCTGTTTCTCACTAAGTAACCATTGAAAAAAAACAAGAAAATTCTTATGTGACCTCATTAGCTTTTCTGTACACTTACGAAGATTTTCCACTTCCAGTTGGTCCCATAAGGGCATTCATTCCGGGTCGAAGAATTCCACTAGAAGAAAACAAAATAAAACAAACCTCATATATACTAAGAAATATTCTATTGTTGTATAAGATTAACATTTATATGAAATACTAGACAACTTTCGCTCAGGCAAAGGTTCTGGTGTTGATAAATAAAGATTATTTCCAGTGTTCATCAGCAACTGTGTGACAACCTGGCCGCTAGTTTATCCCAGTTAATGTAAGACTGACATATTTATGCATCAGCACAGTTTGCGGCATTCCATATTCAAATAACGAGAGAGAAAATCAACAAGATAAAAATAAAAGTAGTCGAAACGATAATACCAGTGGTAATCAGAATTCAATAGAACATAATTTTCAAAAGAAACAAATGAATTCAAAATATGAAAATATCAAATAGCATTGGATTTTCAGATTTAATATTAAATAATGAATAAATACATCATTGACATAGAGAATGGTGTACAGTCACAACACCTAAAGTGTTCAAACATATATTACAATTATTGTGCCTGTCTCCAAGAAGAAGTCTACACCTCTTGAACTTGTGAAGCTTAACAATAGATGGATTCATAAACTATCACCACATCTTTAAAGCGTGTGGTAGCGATTGGGTACGAGTTCATGTAATTTTCGACTGGTCGCTTGATAGGCAGACCACCCAGTCACTTCAGTCAACTTACCTAGCAAAATATTTCAATTTAGAAGGTGATAAACATCAATTGGAGGAGAAAACTACAGTATTAAGCGAATAATACAATTACTGAACATCTCATAGATATTGGACATCAGGTCGATATCTTGCAATCTTTGAAGGTGATTATAAAATAGTCAAATTCCGGTCTACTGAAGTTAATGAAGCCGTTTCTATCAGGCGTCAGAAACCTGATTTATGTGTTAAAAAGGAGATCGTTGTTAATCCTTCTTTGACTCGGTGACAAATATTCCTTCATTACATCATAAAATTTTGTCCATCTCTTTCTTTCAGCTAATTTCATCATTAAGTTCTCTTATTTCGACTGTCTTCTGGTTTAGTAATCTTATTTTGATTAATTGAGCTTTACTCAATTTATTCCTATTTATTACCAGCGTATATGCATCATGTAACCACTTGTTTCTAACTCTTTAGACCTTTGTCACTATCACTGTTGTAGAATGTTCGTTTACATAAGCTATTTATTTACAATATTTTATTCAGTCTATTAAACTTACTTACTAGCTCGATATGCTTTACTGATATGTTTTCTAAATAACTTCTAACTAAGATCTGCTATGCAAGTAATTTAAACTCATTTCGTAGTTATGATTTTTAGATACCACCGGTTGTAAGCAGTTAATGAGAACCAAACGAAATAAAATGAATACCTTCTATTCTGTTCAAATATTTCTTCTAACTCTATAATCAATAATTCTTGCTCCCTCAGTAATTTGACATCAGTCTTGTCGTTTGGGTGACTTTTATGTACCCGTATTATTATTATTTATAATTGCCATATAACTTTACATTTTCCTTGATCACTATATTAATATACACTTACTTCCATTACATTCTTATCATTTTATTCTGTTACATATCACTCATTTGCTAGTTTATTGTTTTTAATCATTGTCCTTAATTTTAACAATTAAAATAGGTCATGGTATTATTTGGTATACTTATAATCTAGCTGTTTGTACTCCACACTTTTTTGCAAATTCTCTACTTCCATCAACCGATTAACTATCCATTAGAAAATAGCAATATTGGCCAGGCTGTAAAGTCAAATATTGATTGAATAATATATAATATACAAGTGCAACGAATAAACCAGATCAGTAATTGACAAATGAAACACGTGAATCTTTACGAAGTCTGTCATGGAAATGAATCCACCAGAACTGAAATAGTCACTGGGATTTTCTTTAAGTGTTTTTGAATAATTTCTTATGTATATTAGACATAAATTTAACTGTTATATAGCACTAATTTGTAAGTTGGAACTAAGTAAATTTCGTATCAGAAGTATCTATAGAACTGTGTTTCAATACTTATCACCTAAAAATAAGCTGCACCTCATAAGTACTCCTAGACAGTGATAGTAAGTGTATGCAGTTATCTTCAATGGAAATCTGCTTGAAACGCAAGTACTTGCAAGAGATAATAAAAAGGAATATAGCTTTTTGTGATGACTAGTTAACGGCTTACCATCCCCATATATATTACGGCAAAGATATCGGTATTAAATATAAAGTTAAGTATATTATACCAATAGCAGTTTTTTATTTATGGTGGGCCACATTCTGAAGATAAAAATGTCGTGTTATATTATAGTGTGTAATATGTACGCAGTTCCAAGATTCCAAACAATCTTGGTGTTTGTGTTTGCTAAAAGAAAATCAAACTTTCGAAAAAAATAATTGAGGATTGTAGAAATAAACTGAATCTAATTCCGTTTATCTTAGAAGATCCCTATTGCTTTCAAATGGCTTTGAAACAAAAACAAAAGGAAACAGAAGATGTTACTACGTTTGTGTAATTTTTTAAGGCCCGCTGACCAATATTACGTGCCAAGTCATCAATCAGAATCCTAATCTTAATTTGGTCTGTTATTTAGCTACTCTCTAGAACCTAACTTGAGTCCATAAATAGAAACCAACCTCTACTAAGTTCATATCTCGAACGGACATGGTTTAAATACAGACAAACCGGACCGGACCACAACATAAGATGAAAAGCAACAATCGTGCATAAACAAGTTAAAATTGTCTGTGAATAGGAGAGAGTGAGCAACAGACCACAAGTAGTCAATCGTATGATAATAGTTTGTGGGTCAACTGAAAGCTTATGATAAGCGGAATATATAGACAAAGTAATCTAAACACTTGATAATCATACAACAAAATTATGATTAATAATAATTCAGAAAACCATTTCCTACTTCTACAATATCCGTTCCGTTATAACTGTTTTTTACTATCGTCTTATATGTCATGGTTTGCGCTAAAACATCTCCTATGATTGAATTCGATATAAGTAGTGCTAGAGATTATTGATGGGACCCATTGTCACAACTTTACTACAATTTTACTCGGACTCTCTCAAATTACATTTTGTTCGCTAAGTTATATTTAATAAGGTTAGTAATGACATGCAAATTTGTGAAAACAGTGAAACCAATTAAAAAGTGCACTGTATATCAGAAATTTAATTTTCTTCAATTAATTTCACTTGAAAAACAAGCAAATGACAGTTAGATCAGCAGATTCGTTTTATACTTATCAAAGACGGAATTCGCCATCGACAACTTCTGGATTCGCATAAGATGTGGCTTTTGATTCGAGCTTTTAAATTGCATATTTTTATTTCTTGTTATCCCTAGTTTGTTGTGGCTCGAGGACGCTGATCGATATCATGCATTATACCGCTCAATCAGGATTCCCATTACCGACTAGTTCACCTGTATCCCAGTAGGATCACCGACCTATTTGCCAACTGACACGCTGATCAATAAACAACGGCCTAGATCTTAACGTTCATTAACCCTCAAGATCCTTTTTTTCACAGTAGTCAATCTGAAGACACAGACAGGAATTAGATTTATTCTCACTCATAACTAATGTACTTAAAATCACTGACCACAGCACAAAAAAAAAAACAAGAAACCATTATTTTAACACAATGACATCCCATGTGGTAGAGATTGGAAGAAACAGTTCATTATTAGTTGACAACTAAGGGAAAGTGAAACATATAGCAACAGTTAATAGGTTTACTGAAAGCTTACAATAAGAGGTATATCGAAATGCAATCACACAGTTATCTACTGTTTATACAATAAAGATATGAATAAAAATACTCCGAAAAATAATTCCGAAAATTTAGACTTTTTGGATATTCGTTTCGTTATAACACAAGTTTCACATGATTGGTTTCAGGATCATATCGTTGTTTCTAATTTGGATCACTAATTGAAGTCAACAATCCACATTTCTTATCTTTGCTTAACAGAATAGTTAACAGACGAGAGCACACTCTAAATAGTACTATTCGTTAGTCATTTGTGTAGTAGCCTTTTCTATTCAATGTGGGCATAATTACAAGACTTTCTCAATCTTAATTTAAGTATATAAAAACAAAATACTAAATTTCTTCATTATTATTGATGATGTTGCATCACATATCAAATCAATATTACTCAAAAACATAACTTCATATGTTTTAAATCCTAAATCTACTATTCGGAGTGAACATTTATTCTGGGATGCAAGTATACCCAGCTGACGAGTCCCAAATAGGACGAAACGCGCGTGCTGGATCCCATTGCTAGCCACCAATCATCCTTTCCATCCAACTCCTGTTTAAAAACAGCTTTAGATTACAGCAAACTATTATAAAGTATAAGAAACTGTAAGAAAAATAATATACGAAAGGTAAACTGTAAAATTTTATTTTAGCAACATTTTTTTTCATCTCACCTGACATCATCAAGTATTGTCTTTATCACTGGTTTACTACAGAGTGTCTTTTGAATTTTTACTTCATAAGAAATATGATGAAAAGAAAGTTTAGCACCACTTATTTTTTCTCGTTGACCGAATGAACTACCGGGAGTTGGTGGATATTCATTAAAATTTGTTAATGTTTGTTTTTTACTCATTGTACTTTTGACTTGGTTGTAACTTTTTTCAATATTTGTAGGTTGAATACTATTATCGGATGTATTTTCAGAGATTGTTCGCGAATTCATTTTTGTATATGGAAATTTCCCATCTTGTATTGTATCATGTAATGAACGATATTGCATATGATCTTCAGTTTGAGTGTAATTATGATCTAGAGGATCGTTCAATATTTTAAATGCTTCAAAAGATCCATCTGTTGTAACCGGTAGATCTGTGTGATCAATTGTATGATTGTGAAATAGTTTACTGTCTGGAAAATCGGACATGTTTGAAGAGTGTGTTGGCATTGATGTACTAAATTGAGTATCTTCAGGAGATGTGATTTGGCTACTATCAAATGGCTGTGGACTACTTGAGTTTATTAGCTGTTTTAGACAGTTGTGATGCTGAAATAAATATAGAACTCAGAATAAAAATCTCATTTCAAAAGAAATATTGTTTTAAATTCAAGTTTCAGATCAAATATACCTTTTCAACAAGGTTTCTTGCTTAAATGTCATAGAGGTGCGATTACATTCTATCAAACATATTTAACTTGGTATCCATAGTTTTTAATTTATTTCGAAGTAAAATTTGTAAAGAGTATGAAGTACTATTATTCGCGCAATTATTGAAAACCAGACTGAAATGACCTTATTGTTGTATTTTATTCTGTAGTTCTAATATGAATGTATAATTTCTACCTAAATTGGTATGGAATTAGGTAGGTTTATACTTAGGAGAATGTAAATCATACCTTGGAAATTATAACTGATTCTTCAAAAAATTGTAATTATGACAAAATTAGATATAATCAATGTCCTTTAAATCAAATCAGCAAGCATTGGAGTTAATTACGTAATTCAAGGATCGAATAACTGCTGAAACTGCTTGTCATTTAGAAAGAAAGTGAATATTTTGTAGAATTAATGAATCGAAAACAACGTAGATCCGAGGATATTTATACATGAATTTGCGAAATAAAACTTACGAATATTTCAAGATAAAGAGTGAATGTATCTGGGCCAATGCAACTGATTCTAAGTCATGTCATCCAACATCTCTGTTAATTGAGATAATCGAGAGGATCTCAACCATGTTGTCTGCATGTACGAACACAGCCCAAATTCACAGGCGATGATTTCATAGAATAATCCCACTTTTCTATTTGGTTGTATCTAGATTTCCTACATCACCAAACATGACATGTCGAAGTTGTCCGTACCTAGGCATCCGTAAACACATATTTAATAATTAGTTTCCAGATGGATTTTTTTAGTTCCTCCAGAAACTAATGACTAGTAGATTTTGTTTATATTTAGAATAAACTAGATAATACTAATGCGACTTTATGATCACCACGCTTTATTTGTGAATTGACCGACGTTAGGAATATTAACCATTCGGTTATAGCATACAAATAAATATGTTATTGAACTCAATATCGAATGGAAAGAAATAGTTCCTTACAATTAGCTACCTATTACTGCTCTGGATTAAGTATATAAGTTTTAAAACAAAATATCATATTAATATCATTAAAATAATTATGATTTAATCAACAGTAATATCTATAATAATAACCATTAGTTATTAAGAGACAAGATACAAAATTTAGTCAGTTTTTTCAGTTAGTTAAATTAAAAATCAAATTTTCATTTATATTGATTCTTTAATCAAATTTAAAACTTATGCAATAGCTTCAATCGACTGATGATCTCAACTGTTGAAATTACTGCAATCTCCACAAAACCCCTTCTGACACTAATCAACATAAGCTTACTAGTGACTTGCTTTCAGAGGTATATCCTGGAGTTCTAGTGAGAATCACTGACCGTTGAAGTTCAACCGGGTCAGTTGTGTGATAGTAACTGACTGATGACAATAGTGGGTGTTTCGCTCAATTTCGTGGATTAGTTGAAGTTAGACATTAACACCAGTGGAGGCCGGTCAGATCAGGGGTTAAGCGCCTGGAGCGAGACTGATAGGTCCTGGGTTCGAACCCCGCGGGGCGGGGTCGTGGATGCGCACTGCTGGGGAGTCCCGTACTAGGACGAAACGGCCGTCCAGTGCTTTCAGGTTATCCATGGTGGTCTAGCTTCAATTGACTCGTGATCTCAACTATTGAAATTATGCATTAGTACTGAATTATGATAAGGAACTATCTGGAAGGAAATATTTTGGAACTTCATTTGTATATTTATATATTATGTTTAATAAGATAATATTATGTTTTATTTCCCATATTTTTAAAATTATATGTAAATTGTAGTCATAAGAACTAGAAAAATTTCCTAATTAAGGACATTTAAATATTTTTATACATACCATGTAATATATTCCAAAAGATATGCTTAATTCTTGTTTACAGAAAATCCATGTGATATTGTAGAGAGCATCCTGGAAAGAAATGCTTCGAGATTTTCCAAAATAGAAATCAATACTAATTTAATTCTCACTCATCATAAATATATTACGAATTTCTGTTTTAATGTCTTCCTTAGTTTATATGATTATTAGGATAGTCGTAATAATAACGGTTTTATCAGTAATTTTATATCTACGAGAGTAGAAATTTCATCATTATCAAAGACAACAAAAAATTCAATCCAACTAACAAGTCTCCAATGGGACGAAACATGTATCCTAGATTCCACTGCTAGCCACCATCCATCTCTGCCTATAATAAAGCAATGAGTTTAGTTATGAAGTAATGATTACACTACTTTTTTGTTTAGCATGAAATAAAAGTTTTATATTAACCCTTCCAGAAATGATAATAAATAGTCTTTCACCATAAAGGATTCATAATTTATAGCTATTGATTATATATTAGTAACTTTTTAGTATATTAACTCTTGTGTTCTTTGATGAAAGTTTGATAGCTCTACATGATCTAGTAAACTATATCTTCTAATAAATTACTCAATTTTATTGTTTTCTGTTTTTTGTCACTTATTTTATCACTTATTGCACTATTGTGGTGTTCGCTACTTGTGTGGACAGATTTAAGTAGTATCTAGCAAGAATAGGAATGCATACCAGCAGGCGATTGAAATAAAAAGAGGAAGGAAAACAGAGAGTATTCGGAATAATAACAAGATTGAAAATATGGTGGAGTATTCAGAGGAAAAATTAAGAAAGATATGCAAATGATGTATTTAATGCATGATTTTCATAATTTACATATGCACTGTTCAAATCTTCATTTAACACACAACTGGTTTCCTACCGTCATAATTACCGGTTGGATTTATTATTCTATGTAATTACATTTCTTAAATAATTCATGTACAAAACACATTATATTTAAATATCACTTAACATTTATAACTATAAAACAAATTGGTCATCCTATTATTTTTCTAAAAATAACTATTGGAAAGTAATATGGCTTGATTCATAAAAATAATACAAGGCCTAGACAAATACAAGGCTTACAAAAGCGGAGAGATGGCTTGATGGTTAAGACCTTCGACTTTTAATGACTGATTCCCTTTTTCAAACACCGCTAACTGGGTATTATTATTACTACCCTTCATAGTTAGAGTAATGTTACTACCGAAATATCTGGTCCGTAGTGAGTTAATTTAAAACTTTTTTGTAGGAAAAGATTCATTTATGTATCAAACACTAATTTAAATATTGATCAAAATGACATTGAAATATACGATAAAATATCTACTATTATAATTATTAGGTCAGTACATAAATTTCAAAGTATTGAATTGGTAGTAATTGACAATAATTAATAAATAATTAGAGGTGTGTATTTAATTTTTCAAGTAAGTGCGTTGAATTCTTGTAACTATAGTGAACGAGAACACATTTGAAGATAATTTAATGTATTTGAATACAAAATTACAAAACGTCTTAGTAAAATATGAGAACCACATAGTAAATACTTCATTTGCAAAATATCATCGTGTATGACTGTCAATACTTTCTGGACCTTAACGGATGACAAAAAATCCATCGAGTGCAACTCTACATCGACCTCTTTGGATACCAACGACGAATCATTAGTAAGAGTCTTTAAAGATACCGTTTTTGGTTCCCCCTCGAGGATTAAATTATCAGCTAGGTCATCAACTATGAGAGAGGTATCTAACCCGCTATCTAGAAAGGCGCAATTCTGAATAATGTTCTCACCAATTTTATCCATACAAGGACTACTGCAAATGCTACTGGTCTCTGTATACACTTAACGACCTCCTCCGTACAAAGCTTAGTATCGATGTAGGCATCACTATTAGTATTTCTTTGTTCTTCCCGCTTCTCGTGTGACAGAGTATGGTGTCTCCAGCCACACCCTTCAACAGCACATGACCTCGGCGATCGACAGTTTTTTGCCACATGGTTTGCCTTCAAACATACATTACACAACTTGTGTCTAAGAACGAATTCTTTCCTTTCTCTAACATTCTTATCTTTAAACTTCTGATATTGATCTAAAGAATGATTACTTAAGCACTTCAAACAAGATGAACTGCGTAAGGGAGCGTTATCATCACTAGCACTAGCATAAGATATTCTTGCTGCATTGTAATCTGCACTAATTTTCCCTTTTAAAACACCACAATCTCTATTGTCACTATTACTACCGCGGTTGACAAGTAGGCCGTATCTAGTATTAGCTATATCAGCTTGTTCTTTTACAAACTCAACAAGATTGGCAAACAGAGGCTTTCGACCTCCTCTGATAATCTTATGAGCTACCTTTAGCCACTCTCGTTGAATGTGTGTTGCTAATTTCAGAACCATAATTTCAATAGTTCTATAAGAGTTCAAATTAGAAACGTAATTCATCTGTTCAAGAGTCAAACCAAATGCTTCCTATTCAACATCAAACTTGTAATTCGTGACTATGCATTTTTTGATAGTAGCGAGTGAGCTGCCCTTACGATCCTTAACCGCCAAAATTGCGGCTGTGATCATGTCAATCGTCTCAGACTTCGGTGTTTTTTTCGTTTCCACACTAATCATTCTCTGGTCTTGTTCTCTTTTCTTCTATCTTCTTAACCTTCTGCCGCCAAACATTTCACATTCAATTGTTGATACATGCTACTTATATCTGTCGACATTAGTAGCACACACCACATAACTAATACTGGATGCGCACTGCTGAGGAGTCCCATACCAGTACGAAACGGCTGTCCAGTGCTTCCAGGTTTTCCATGGTGATCTAGCTTCAATTAACTCATGATTTCAACCAGTGAAATTTTTAAAAAATCTCCACAAAACCCATCCTGATAATAATACTTATTATCAAATTATTGAGCTATATATTCTGTTTTTTCTTAACAGAAAGTATAATTCATTTCAGTAGATAACATGAAGTATTCCAGTTAAACAATAGAAATGAAATACATCAATGTACTTTATTACAAATAAGGACATACAGTTTGCGTGCAGCTTTATAACCACACCCATAACACTTAAACAAAAATAAAAATTACTAGATAAAATGTTCATTTCGTAAAATAAATTTCAACACCTGGTAATTACACTGAATTTTTCTTTTACTTTTTTTTCAAAAAAACTAATCACTACATTAGGTATGTCAATAAAACATAATGCACGATAGGTATTCAATAATAAATGTCATTTATTTAACAGTTATAATACAGTAAAATAATCTTGTATTATCAGAATAGGTTTTGTGGAGATTTTAAGAAATTTCACAGGTTGAAATCATGAGCCAATTGAAGCTAGACCACCGTCGGAAACCTGGAAGCACTAGACGGCGGTTTCGTTCTAGTATGGGACTCCTCAGCATATATACCGCTGGATGCCGGCTCAGCGGCCTAGTGGTTAAGTGCTCGTGCATGAAACCAGTAGGTCCCGGGTTCGAATCCCGCGGGGTGCGGGGTCGTGGATGCACACTGCTGAGGAGTCCCATACTAGCACGAAACGGCCGTCCAGTGCTTCCAGGTTATCCATGGTGGTCTAGCTTCAACTGACTCATGATTTCAACCTGTGAAATCCTATATTAAGCGAAGTACATTATTGTATAGAATAAGAATTCCAATCATATAATACGTTTTTTTTTAATTATGTAAGTATCAGGTAACTAAGATCTCTATACTGATGAAATATGATCTAGCTATTGTTTTTAAAACAATTTATATATCATGTGTTATCAGAATTTCCTTGGAATGTTAGAATAGTCAGTTAATTGATCAATTTTTCTATGTTAGTCTTAATCAACTTTGTTTTCCTATATATACATATTATTGGTGATAAAAACGAATGATAATTTGTAGTTTATATTATAATTGATCATTTTGTTTCCTGATTACATATTCTGTTCAATATTTTATTGAAGGTTACAAGAGAATTATCTTGTTACAATATAAGAAACAAATAGTTAGTTTGTTAGTATATTCTTGAAATGAATACTTTTTAGTTAACGAAAATATTCTTTCAGAATCATTTTTATTCTGAAGAAGCAAACTATAAATTTCTTTGTTTATTACAATAATCTTACCAGTATAAAGGTTATGGAGATTATTAAGTTTCTTATTGAGATCATGAACCAATTGAAGCTAGACCACCGTCGGAAACCTGGAAGCACTAGACGGCCGTTTCGTCCTATTGTGGACTTCTCAGTAGTGCTCATTCACGATCCTGCCCACGGAATTCGAACGCAGGGCCTTCATTCTCGCTCGCGAACGCTTAACCTCTAAACCACGAAGCCGACATCCAGCGGTGTTAGTGTCTAACATCAACCAATCCACGAAATTGCACGAACATCTTCCATTGTGTTGAGGTAGATACCTGTCTCTACTCAACACGGATTAGCTCCACTGGTCACGGCTTCTCACTAGAACTCCGAGAATTCCCTCACGAAGTTAGTCACTGGTGAGCACATGTTAATTGCCAGTATAGGTTCGAATCCCGCGAGCGGGATCCTGGGTGCACACTGCTTAGGAGTCCCACAATAGGTCGAAACGGCCGTCAAGTGCTTCCAGGTTTTCAATGGTGGTCTGACATCAATCGGTTCATGATCTCAAACAATAATTTTACAATTTTTAATACAGTTAGTATTATCAACTAACAGAAGCATTTTCAACGATAATGTTGTACGGTACCGGTTTAGATTACAGTATTGGAGATATTCTAGAGGATAAATTCTGATGAAAACTAGTTAAGCCTTCTTTTATCTGTAAGCTTTAGGTATATAATATCATTATACTGAAGTATGTAGAATTTGGGACTTGTATATCAAGTCTTTAAGGAATTGATACCCTGTGAAGAATTTAAATTTATGTCAATATGTCACAGTGAAGGACTTTATCACTGAGCGATTCATGCTGCTACAGACCATCTGAAAGGTTGGGAAAATTACAAAAGTCAGTCACCGATAATTAACCAATTTCATGTCTTTAGGGCCAGTCGAACTCTATCGATTTTTCTGTTCATGCAAATGAAGTGAAATGCTTTCATGATTTATTTTGACTTCATGTTTATTATCTTAAACAACAAGCCTAAACCACTTTCCTAAAATATATCATAGTACACAATATGGTTTGTAGGTTGTATTCATCGTGAATTCCTTCTACTTGTAGTACAATTGAAACCTAGGTAGCACTAGACAACTTTGCTGTACTAACGTGTGACTACTTGACTGCTGGTACCCACGATTTCAATAAGGACTGAACTCAAGACCACTGAATCTTAAAAGTAGAACCATTTGGTCAGTATTCTATCGTATGAATTCAACTTCAATCAGTTTATGATATGCTGTGACTGTCATCCAACCTTATGGTTGGATACCTGTTTCACACCTGAAATACCTGAACTCCTTGGGTCACTATTTCTCATTCTAACTTCAGAAACATCTTGAAATAAACCAGTAGTAAGCGGCAAAATCTGAAAAACCTGGGTTCGTTCACTACTTAGGTTATGGATAAGAACTTCCGGATAGATCAGCACTTGTAAGTCACAGCTGTCTTGATGGTTCTCCAACTGAGATCAATTTCTGACGACTTTAATCTACAAATCAAACCGGTCTAACCAAAACCTCTTCAAAGAAATGTAGAAAATGCTAACTTTTAATTGTAAACAACGGGATAATATTGTTCAGTTAGACATTAATGTATACAATCAATACCTATTGTTTAGTCCATACTACTAAATATAAGCATTACTAATTAACATATTGTTGAATTTGATTTTTCAAAATATTTAAGTTTACAACAATGGATTGATGTCCATAAATCAGACGATTTCCAAAGCAATTGCATACCGGTAGATATGCTTTCCTAGAGATATTTAGTCAATCGTGAAACACAATTTTAAATAAATAACCTAAAAAAGTTAATAATTTATGCAAAATCTCTCTGCACAGCGAATGAATGTTTTCACCTAGATATTTGAAACAATATTACTACATTTTAGGTAGACATGGGTGGTGGTTAGCAATAGAATCCACGAGGCAGGTTTCACCCTATTTTGGACTCGTCAGGTGGAGTTACCTGCACCCTAGTGTTATTGGTCACTCCAGGTCTCGAACTTAGAGCCTTTCATTTCAAACGTCAAATCATTATTCACTTCATCACCAAGTCCAACTAACCACTGGATGGGCAATGAAGTGAATTTTAATTCGTTCGCACTAGTCGTCTGAAATTTCATTTTGATGTTTAGAACTTTACTTTACCAGGCGCACCCAGCTGATTAGTTCCAAAATAAGACTAAACCTGTGTTCTGTATCCCACTTCTAACTACCATACATCTCTACTTCAAATATTTGTACCTTGATGTCAGTGTCAACGCAATCAGCACGGGATGCATGTGTATCAAGAGGAATTGATCAACTCAAGTCATAAACGCCAATGAAAAGATTGAAACAATCGATACAAATGAATTATTATTACAGTCCTTTAACAAGAAAATGGTGAATCAATAAAACTGTACTTCCTCTACTGAAGTGAAATATAACTGTATAATTTAAGTTTCGGATAATTTCAAGTATTTTTCAAATAAACGAAAAATTTTTAGATTCAGTCTCAGATGTATAGTAATATAACCCTTTTCAATTTTATTTTCAAGTATAAGAATAAGTATAAGTATAAGCTCTGTAACGAGTGTCAAAATATGGTCACATACCTAGATGTTATACTTTCAACGATAATATCTTTGACTAATAGATTTATAAATTTAAATAACACAAGGATGATCACATCAGACTCTAAGATGTTGTATTTTAAAATTGTTTCATTTACTTTAAATACTACTATGTATTTAAAAAGCTTACACTTCTTAAATCCCTAGGTTTTTCATTCATTCTTGGTATAGAATAATATTGTTGAGATTGTATTACTTGTTCATTTTCATGCTGGAAAAACTTCATATTGTCATTATTTGATGTAGATACTTCTTTTTTATACTCAGAATTATGAGCCGATTGATTAGTTTGTTTAATAATTTGTGATAAACAAGTGAATTCCTTGAAATTTGTCTGTAAATTATGATGGAATTTTTGTTTGTGTTCATTTATGTGATATTCACTTAGGGATTTCATGATTTTATGATTAACATTATAATCATTATTAATATTATGATTATTATTCGTGTTACCGTTGGTGATAATGTTAGTATCACAATGATTTATAGACATTAATGAAATAGGTAATGTCATTTCGTATTTTTTTGATCTTTGTTTGTTTTAACGTTTGCATTTCACTGTGTTATATAGTCAGGTGAATCATTATTATTATTGTCAGCATCATCATCATTAACACTGTCGTTGTGATGTGAACAATTTTTTGCTGGCTATTGTTGGATGTACTCCAGATTCATGAAAGTCAAGTGACTAAATATCATCAAATATAAAAAATAACTTATTTTAACTTCTTTTTAATATTCAAAGTAATGAAAAATTAAAATAATAAATAATAATTAAATATAACTTACTTTTCTGCTTATTAAACAAGTATCGGATGGTGATCTTATCATATTGAAAATTAATAAATTAGTTGATCTTTGATATTTACGTGGTGGTAACTGTGGTGGTCTTACTATATCTATTTCGTGTGATCTTTTAAAGTCAATATCAACAACATTATCATCATTGTAATTATTATTAGTAGTATAAATATCAATATCATCATTATTTTGACTTACACAGTGAACATGATGTTGATATGGATAATCATAAGGATTAAATGAATTACTATGCATTGAATAGGAAGACTTTTTCTTATCAAAACTTTTTACATGTTCAATATTTAAACACTGTAGATTTAATACACCACTAAATTTTTGAAAATCATGATTATTTTCTATATTGGTATTATCGAGGTCATAGTTTGGTTCATATGCAATATTTATTTGTAATGTATTCAATTCATTACGATGAATACTATGTGTTTTACCAATAATTGGTATGTCCATTTGATTATTATTTTCCATTCGGTAGATTTTATTTATTTACATTCCAATGTAACAAGTTTGCTAAAACAACTATGACGGACAGGTATTTCAAGAGTATTCCACTGAATTTTATTCTTTGAAAAATATGCTCATTTCCTTCTACTGTTATGCAGAGTAATATCTACGAACATTATTGATTACTGTTTGAATACATTTCAGTGATATATTATTTATACGGTTCGATATTATTCAACACTGACGAACAATTTATGTTTCCATGTATTTTGGGTAAGAAAAATAGATTAATTAGCCGGTTCATGTTTACAATAAAGTGGTATAAGCCGACTGATAATAATGCCAGTAAAAAAGAAGCAAATTAAGCAATTGTCTTAAAACCAATAGAAAACGTGGATAAAAAATGAATCGTTGCTATGACAATCAATTATAGTTTTTACCAATCTGATTCCTGAATACAAAGTATTAATAAAGAAATAAAATCATAAGAGAAATTTTTTCATAGTTCACATCACAGAATAATCTTAGTTAATCACAGGTTGAAAGCTGGATAACTTTTGAAAGATTCTCCATCCTAATGTGGAACTCCTTAATAATATGCCTTTAGTCTCCACAGAGAGCGCTTAACCATATGACTACCAAGCTGGTGTACAAGTCTAACTATAATTAATTAGGTATATCGATCTGAGGTGACTCCACTTGTAGCCCTTGTGAGGCTACTGCCGGTCCCAAGCCCGGATAAAGGAGGAGGGTTGAACATGGGGTTAGCGACCCTATCCCGTAAAACTAATTCGCTAAAAAAATACTAACCAGAAAAAATAATTCAAACCATGGAGTTGAGGTAAGTAATTGATTAACACCCGATATTATTGAACACTGGTTATGGCTCCTCTTTAGAACTAAAGGTTAGGCATCTCAAAGTTAGTCAATAGTGAGCCCATAAAAATTATAAGCAAAGGAGAATTTGTGAAGATAGTAGAATATTCACAATTTGTGTTACGCATTGATTTTAGCAAGCTGAACGAATGTAGGCATGTGCACAAACGGTACTCGGTCCAAAAGTCCGGAGCTTAAGCGTTATCGAGGGGAACTGAAGGTTCTCGGTTTGATCCCTAGAAGAATACTGGGTACACACTGCTAAGGAGTTCCATACTGGAACGAAACAGCCTCCTAATGCTTTTTGGTTTTCAAGGATTATTTAACTAAAATCAGTTTGTAGTGTTAATTATGTGGACTAAAATGTTCACCAAAACATTTATACATAGTCTTTTGTTAAATTTAACTAATTATTATTAATCACCAATAATCGCTTCAAGTTAACAAGTCTTAAACTTCCAACAAATGTAATAACAAGTTTCGTCGTAGCCTTACAGTATTTCTTGAGATAATTTATCAGTGAGTGTTGATAGATCATTTATTTTTCCAATTTGTTTGAATACTGCACAAAAGTGGTAAACTTAATGTAGCTAATAAATAACCTATTAGGTATCACCTTGAGATCGGTGATGATGAACGGAATACTACTTTTATAATAGAAAAAAATATCAACAATGTTGTGAATAATTACTTGAATATGGTTGATTAATAATGATGAAACTTACTTCGGAAACTTATGAATAAGATTAAGAAATTCATGATAAATGTTATCCAACATTTCTATTGAGTTTCTACAACTGTTAATCCTTGTCTACTAATGGAAATACTGGTCATCTACTGGTTACAAAAAGCTGCTTTGAATAACTAGATCTGACTTTCAAAGCTTCATGACCATTCCATAACTCACTGAATTTAAATATGAGTGAATTTGAAAATTTGAACACATTTCAGAAATGAACCAAGATACACCGACAATATTTTTATTTTTTGGTTAGGTCATGAAACACTGGCATACCCATTACTGACTATTGATGACATTATTTTTTCTGAATGCTGTGATAAACCGTTGATCCGCCAGTGGAATTGAAATAAATTGACGGATAAATAAATCAGTCACTACACCTCATATTACAAAGGTCACATAACAAAAATCATATAGAATTGTCATTCGACCTTACGACATTAAGATATTTTGGTCGTCCACACTCACCGTAAATCAAGGTTATTCAACATTTTCAAAGTCAATATGCCAAAAAATATTGTATTTTACCTTATTACTACTGGGATTAATCTCTTGTTTAGAAGATTTTGCCAAAATTCAGTCTTACAAACACACCTTCACAAATTTAACATGACCTTGTGCGGCTGCTCTGAACCAATACCTAGTTTAGGTATGAGTAAAATCTATTCGGAAACTGAATTAGCCCCGATCAGTTGGTCGTTAATAAAATCTTTGTAGAGACTTAAGACACACATTTAGAATTGGACCGTCTACACACCATGATGTAAATTAGTTATCACAATCTTCATTTTATGTTTTACATCTCAATTTATTTGCTTACATTTCTGTAGCTTTGCTATGTGATAGTTTCAAACAATAGGTGTTGTCAATCAATCTGTTATATAGCTAGAATGATATTTGTCTTAGTTTTCACAACATTGCTGTTTATCCTATAAAACAAATAAACTACATGCTTCTTATCACGGTAACATCAAATACAATATGAACCTCTGCTCTCAGCGGTATCTTGAACTTAACGAGCCATTGTATTCTTTTAAAAAACGAGATGTGTATTATTGTATAAATGAATTCGGAATTCTTCGTAAGTTTTCGTGTTTTAGTAAGTTCTAAATAACTATTGTTGGATAATCCTTCTGAGATCAAAATAACTGTTAGGATTCACAATAGGTCTTAAGAAATTAACGACTGTCATGTTTTTAGCGTTCCAAAGAAAATATAAAGCTCAAACAATGACTTATACACAGCTTTAACTGAAGGGTTAAACAACCATTTTAAAATGAGATAAATCATTGATGATAATGTTAGCAAAACGATATGAATCCGTTTATTTTGTGAATTCTCTTCAGATGCTTACAGTCTTAAGCGATAGTAAGAATTATTCGAATATGGCATTCGAAGATGACATGAACTTTACTAGTCGGCCACATGATCATTAATTCTAGGGGTAATTTACTAAATATTACATAAGCAGGAACTAAAAAGCATATGGAGAAAAAATATTTCCATAAATGGTAAGTTAATACCTTCAGTTACGTAATCCTAGATGCACAAAAATTAGTTACATCACGAACCGATCTTAGTTAGACAAGTACCAGAAACCAGAAACACTGGACAGCTGTTTTAAGTATAGAACTCTTTATTAGTGCCCATTCACGATCTTACAAAGGAACATACTCAAGACTTTCATTTACAATGGCGAGGGCTTATGCCTTAAACCAGCAACCCCATATCCGATGGTTTAGATATCTAACTTCGATCGATTCTCAATGGTACATAACTATCTCTCAGTGTTATTTGTGAGTAAATGTCTGAATATGATCAGTTTGCGATGTAAACTATGGAATTCAACAATTTTTGGAGGCAAAGAGATGGTTAAGTGAGTAAATTGGGTTTCAGTACCTCAAGTCGTTGGTTTTAGCAAATTACAGTAGGAAAAATAAGGATAAAGCGGATGTTTAATCATTGTATTTAAAATTAAAATAAATCTGAACCCCATTCTTTATTATTTATTATAGAATTTTAAAGCCTTCAAGAGCATTTATTATGTATACCACCGTGTAAATGAATAATCACACAAGTAACTAGAAAAATTATTTCTTATCTATTGTTTCCAGCTAGTCTACCTTCATGTCACTTTCAACTTCAATCAATACCGTTCAGTAAACGTGATTTAAAGTATGTACTCTAGTTTTTTTTCTAATAGTTAATTCCATTGTCTTAACGTGTAAACTATAAAACGCAATTCAAAAGATTTAATAAAATCACATTGTTCAACTATGAATGTTGCATTGGTTTTAATGAAATTTACAAAATGGGAGGATTACACAAAATAATTTAATTTGCAAAAATACCTGAACTCAAATTTTTCTTACTAATCAACATAAAAGTAGTTATTATAGGTTTGAAAAGTGTTTTTCTATGAAAATTTACCTATATAAAATCTGTTTTGTTGATAATAATAGTAATATTTGTAGCAATAATATTACCACTATAAATAAGAATAATATATTTGTAAAATCCCAGTGAGCAGAAAAATTAAGTTTTTAATTTTTCTGACGTTTCGTGACTCAGAGTAAGCCAGTTCTTTAGAGAATAGATATGAACTGACACAAAGAGGCACCAAATTTATATGGACCATACCGCCATTAGATTTGTGTGAGGGCTGGACTACTACCTGGTCGCCCTAACCGAAGCAAGTGGTTTTCTTAGTAGGTTACTCCCTGAATTGAATAACGTTAAGAGATGCAGTTCCATTGTGGCCGGTGACCAACAATAGGTTCATATGCTATTTGTTCGCTCAGGACCCT